AGGGGAAGGGGGTGGTCTTGGCACCTTGCACCCACGAGCTCTCACTGCTGTTGGTGTACCATGGGCCTTTTCCTGTCTGTTTTGAAGTTGTCCCAAATTATTGACTGTTAGGACAGGTATGAAGTCAGTCATTTGGCTGTTATGTGCTCTATAAGTTTTACTGACAAGATAGGAAGCTGAGAATTGCTGGTCAAAGATGCATTACATGGATAGTTGTCAAATTTGGTGTTTATCAGAGAAAGCCAGAGGTTGCTAAAGCACACATTGCTGGGTCTTGCTCCCAGAGATTAAGACTCATTAAAATAACACATTCATTCCCAGGTAGTGGTGAACAGCCCATCAGAGGGACTGCTCTTTGAGAACTACTATGATAAACTAGATATGGAAATCAGTCTACACCGAACCATTTAAGTTCTTCATGAAATCAATACATTTAATAAGTTGTTTATCCTCTTACTCAGATAATACTTAAGCAACTAGAAAAGCAGATTCTCAAAACTTAAGAATCTCTTATGGACATAGACAATTAGAATTCTCTCCACTTCCCCTTGATGGTAGCAGTATTAATATTAACTGGATACCCAGGCATTGGTTGCCTGCTCTACTTTAACCCGTGCCAGTAATTTAGTCCATGTGAGTTATGTGAGATTGGTTACTGGGGGTCTCCAAACGATTTCCTCTGAACTTTTTCCTCTTCAAGAGCAAATACTATTCACTCCCCCATTACAGCTTACATGTTCAAGAGGCCCTAGTTTAAAGTTACTGTTGCTACTTGTCAAGATCTAATTAATTTGGGTCTCCAGAAATGACTAATAATGCTAATATTAAACAAAATTCTTTATATTTTAGTAGAGATAGTAGAGTTTTGTAGAATGTCTAGTTGCGTTCTTTTTTTTTTCCCCCAGGGCTGTGCTCGGTGAACCTTTGTCCCCCTCCTCTTGTTTAACTTCTACCTGTTGGTCACAGAATCCCTTTGGTGTTGAGTAGCTTTGTCATGGCACTAATCCTAGGTTACCTTGTCCACAGCGTGCCTTTGGTCAGATCATGCCTTTGGCGCGTGGTACTTGGTTGTGCCTATGCCAATGTGCATGAATGCTCCCCTCGTCGTTCTCCTACGTGACGTCACTAGAAAGCCTTCCCAGCTGCCGTGCTCTAGGCTCCTGACATGCGAAACAATGCTGGGTGCCTGTTGTTTATAAGTGGTGCTGCCCTAAGAGAAAGTGGAAAGAATCTTATTTTCCTACATGTACAAAACATGTTTTTTTTTTAATTTGGAAAAATCTGACTTTAATATTGTTTAATTAATTAAATATACTCTGTGGAAAATATCACTGTATCTGTTTTCTAATTTGGCCAGAAAGAAAAATAGCAAGGAATGTTGTTTTCTTAAAAGCTAGAGACCTCTTGTGGTCATTCATAATAGTATTTTAAAAACAGAATTATTCAAATTTGTCAGATTTCGAAATTTCTGGTTTAGGTAACATCCATTTAAAAATAGAGATATTACCTAAAACCTGCAAAAATACAACCCATCAGCAATAATATTCTACTCTCAGTAATGTATATGTATGTATATATATGTATGTGTGTACACGCATATATTTGCTTATATACATATGTGTGAATGAGATATATAGATATTTCATACGGTGAGAGAAATACTAACAAATTATCAATTCATCAAACATAGGAAAGTATAGAAATATATAGATATTTTAGTGAGAGGAATACTACCTAACAAATTATCAATTCATGAAACATAGAAAGGTGTCAAAATATATAGATATTTTGGTTAGAGGAACACACTACTTAACAAATTGTCAATTCGTCAAACATAGGAAGGTGTTGAAGTATTAACTTTTGTTAAGAACTTTTCCAAACTGTGTATTTGTGTATCAGAATATCTGATAATTTTTTATTCTAATTTATATATAAGGTGACTAAAGCTCCAAGAAATTGTGTGATGTACATTTTTACAATATCAAATTCATCTGGACTTCACTCACTACGGATTACTTAAAGTGACTGGGAATTATAGACATAACTCACAAGAGACTGCCAAATTGCAGGATTACCGTTCTTAAATCACTTTTAAAAATATTTAATTTTTCTGTATTTTTATTATTTGTGATATTCATAATGTGTGTAATTGTTTTGTTTATTTGTTTGTTTGGTTTTGTTGTTGTTATTCTGACGTTTGAGACAGGGTTTCGCAGCATAAGCATAGCTGGCAGGGAAATTGCTCTGTAGACCAGGCTGGCCTCAAATTCATCGAGATCTTCCTACGTCTGCCTACCTGTGCACCACAACCATTTTTTTGTTTTAGATTTAATATTTTCTTTGACTGAGTACTCTAATTCCTCTACTTTGTCTGCAAGCCATGATCTTGTCTCTTGCATTTGATCTGTTCTATTGATTCACCTGGATCTGGACTCTCTCCTCCGGCCACCACAGTAATGCAATGACCTGCACAGGTATGAAGGATGCAGACAGTTAATGAAACCCTGAATAAACATGTAGATGGAAAAGAGGTTTTATTACTCTTAACAGACTTTTATTGGTATGGAAAAATAAAAGGAATTTTAGATTATAGAATTTAGAAACAACAGTTCCTCCATGCCTGTTATGATTAAAAAAAAAGAACAAACCTCACCATTTTCCTTATCAGTTAATGATGTTCTTGCACTGTTTACATTTTAAGAGGTAAAGACAACAGTCACGATAGGATATTCAGTATATCAAAAGTTTAAAGAAGTAAACAAGAGCTGAATGTGGTGGTGGATTAAACACTTGGGATTAAAGGCAGAAGCAATTGGATCCCTGTGAGTTTAAGGCCAGCCTGGTTGACATAGTGATTTCCAGGTCAGCCAAGGCTCCATAAACTAAAACACTGAAGGGAGAGGAGGGAAAGAAGGATAGAAGGAGAAAGGGAGGGAGGAAAGAGGGAGAGAGAGAGAAAGAGAGAGACAAAGAGAGAGAGCCTATATTTTACATGCTTGATATGTGAGGACAGATAACACAATAGCATCCAGAAACACCAAATAAGCCTGCCTTAAAGACAATGGTAGTTTTTTCTTTTGTTGTTGTTTTTGGTAAGTAAAACTATGGTGGTTTAGGCCTGGAAAGTTGACTTGTCAGTTAAGAGCACTGGCTGCTCTTCCAGAACATGGGTTCAATTTCTAGCACCCATGTGGTAGCTCACAACCGTCTATAACTCCAGTTCCAGAGGAGAGCCCCAGGCATGGTCCTTTTCCTGATCATATAAGTCAGCATCCTCTCCCAGGAGCAAGCCTACTAGGCAATGTCCCTGGTGCTTTAAGTATTTTATCTCATTGAATTTCCATACCACTTAGCATAGGGGTGGTGGTTTGAAAGAAAATGGCCCTCAATGGGAGTGGCACTATTAGGAGGTGTGATCTTGTTGAAGGAAGGGTGTCACTGTGGGGGTGGGATCTGAGGCCTCTTTTCTCAAACTTCACTCAGTGTGACAGTCAGTTGACTTCCTGTTGCCTTCAAGATGTAGCACTCTCAGCTCCAGCACCACATCTGCCTGCGCACCACCGTGATCCCTGCCATGATTATAAGGGACTGGACCTCTGAATCTGTAAGCCAGTCACTCCAATTAACTGTTGCCTTTCTAAGAGTTGCCATGGTCATGGTGTCTCTTCACAGCACTAGAAAACCCTGTCTGAGACAGTAGGCTTATATTCTCATCATCTGCATTTTATCTATGTAAAAGTAATGGCTGCAGAGGGCCCAAGTTAGGAGTGGAGCTAGAATTTAACTCTGCTCTACCTGATTTTAGAGTTTGGTTTCCTTTTCACTCTAAGAATGAGCTGATGGATGGAATGTATGGCTCCACCCACCCAAATGACTAGATTAAAAGACTGTCAAGAAGCTCAGTTCTGCTATTTAAAGACATAAAATATACTTGAAAACATTTGAATCATAGAAGAACTATGAGGAACAACAAAGGAAGTACTCTCAATGGGAGGAGAAACTCCCTAAGCTTTTTGTTCCTTTCAGGGATCTTCTTACCTGGGCTGCTGACTGCCATGCTTTCCTTGTTCATAATTCCATACCTTGGCCCTAAAACTATTCCTTTTTCTTGTGGCTGTTTATTCTGTTACATCTGCCAACAGGCATCTATATGTGTGCCAGGCACTAGATCTTACCTAGCAAATATTTGTAGTTCCAGGATGCAACAGAAATGCCTAGAACATAGAGAGCACTCAAGTAATATTTGGTAGTAAGTCATAAAGGAACTTATTTCATGACAATATTTGTATAAATTTTCTGAAAGAGAAACTTTATTAATTGTTATGATTACAGATTTTAAGAGTTATGCAGTTATGAGTAGAATTAGAATATAGAGTCTGTAGTTATCCTGACCATGGTTATAAAAAGAGTGTTTTAAGGCAACTGGGTTTGTGGATAGTATTGCTGTTGCTTGTACTATCTTATATATGTACTCAGTTTTCACAAAAATCTTATGAATGGAATAAAATGATCTCTGTTTCAAAAATGGAAAAAGCAGGACATAGTCCCAAGTTTTTCTGCTATGAATGTGCATTCCTAACCAAAAGGCAGTTTTACATTGCCACTGTTGATTTATTCATATGATACAGACTCTGTGATTCCATAGTAATATCTTCTAATGAAAATTCATCGATTCTTAATCCAATTGCTTTGCCCACTAGAACTTTTCCACCAAAATAAAAGTTCTGAATGTCTTGAGAAATTGGCACTTTTATGCCCAAGTAATGTTCAAAGCCTATGAATAATTTGCTATCATAATTCTCCTTGTCCTCCAAACAAGACAGTCATATTTTAGAAATTTTACCTACCTAAAAAAATTATTCCACTACATCTCCCAGATCAGTAACCTCTCAAGGACCTCTGCAGATCAGGCTCTCCAGCTTCCTTGGGGCAAAACTACATTTCCCAGAAGCCATTTCGTCTGTGGAGAGAGTCCTTCCCGCCACAGGGGGCCTTGGGAAACCAGAGGACGCCACAGAGAGCTTCCTGGCAAGAGGGCCCAGGGACGAGGCTGCCTGACCCGTGCACCCCGAAATGGCTCGGAGGCAGGACGAGGCGCGGATGGGCGCGCCCCTGAGGGCGGAAGGCCGGCCGGACGCGGAGGTCAGGCTCATTCTGTACCACTGGACCCACTCCTTCAGCTCTCAAAAGGTAACGGCCAGGAGCCGCGGGCCGCGCTCGGGTTCAGCACCGGGACAGCTCCCTCGGCGTGGCGCGGGCCCTGACCCCGGGTGCCTGCACTGCTGGGGTTCACTAAGTGTGGGTCTGAAGAAGGATGAAGGCAGTGACGCAGGCACTATCGTTCAGCGTTCAGGAAGCGGCACTAAGAAGCATCACGTTCAGCCTACAGGTTTTGCCCTCTTGGGCTCTGGACCCTGGAGAGTGAGGCAGGAAAAAGTGCCTCCCTGCATCCCTTTGATCTACTTTCCTTCTGTAAATAAATAAATATTGTGTATATATATATATATGTATATATATATATATATAATATGATATACTGTATATCATACATATAATATTACACACACACACACACACACACAGAGAGAGAGAGAGAGAGAGTGTGTGTGTTTTTGAGACAGGATCTCTTGAAGTGCAAACCTGAACAACCTGGAACTTGTTATGTAGACCAAGATGTCTATGAATGTGTGGCAATCTTTCACCTTGGCTCCTCTACTGTTGGAATTGCAGTTTGTTTTTTTTTGTTTTGTTTTGTTTTGTATTTTTTGGTTTGGGTTTTGGTTTTTCAAGACAGGGTTTCTCTGTGTAGCTTTGGAGCCTGTCCTGGAACTAGCTCTAGTAGATCAGGCTGGCCTCGAACTCACAGAGATCTTCCAGCCTCTGCCTCCCGAGTGCTGGGATTAAAGGTGTGTGCCGCCACTGCCCGGCAGGGATTGCAGTCTTAAATCACTTTTTAAAATGCTTAAAAAAAATACAGAAATTAGGTATTTAGCTCAGATTTTGCCTATCAAGCTCAAGGCCCTGGGTTTGGCAGTCTTTAGCATCAGAAGAGAGAAAACAACAAAATCATGTAAAGACACTGCTCCACCCCAAGGGAATGAAACTGCTTTGATTTTCCCGTGCTTGCATTCTTTAACAAAGGTCCAAACATATATTTGTACTTAAGGTGGTCCTTTATGGTTTCCCCTACGCTGGAGTTACAGGCCCTTGTCAGCCAGCCAACGTGGGTGCTGGGAATCAAACTTGGGTTATCTTCAAGAGCCATACGCACCTGGCTGTCTCTCCGGCCCTCTATTTCAAGGCTTTTGTCTGGCGGAGGAAACACAGTTTGGTTTAAGGCACAGGACCACTGTGGTGATGGAGAGAGAGTGGTTGTGAGGAAGACAGAGTCATTTTTCTTCCCTCCTTTCCTTCTATAACCTATAGCAGTAAGCTGCCAAGGTGCTGCTCATCTTCTAGCACCAGGTGTCACTAAATGAACATTTGAAATGCTGCTGCTAGCTCAGGAAGCCAACCGAGGTGGCTTAGCTGAATCCAGAGAAGACGTTTTAACTGAGAACAGTAGTAACCCCTGTGAACTCTTCCAGGTGCGCTTGGTAATTGCTGAAAAGGCACTGAAGTGCGAGGAACACGATGTAAGTCTGCCCCTGAGTGAACACAATGAGCCTTGGTTTATGCGTTTGAACTCAACTGGAGAAGTGCCTGTCCTTATCCACGGGGAAAACATAATTTGTGAGGCCACTCAGATCATTGATTATCTTGAACAGACTTTCCTGGATGGTAATGTTAAGGCTCTTTGTGATTTCTTAGCTTTGTTTTCAACATACACCCTTCCCTGTCTCCCTTCTCCTCTCTTCCTCCCCCTCCCTCTCCCTCTCTTTTTTATGGTGGTGGTTTAGTGATTTAAAAACCTTTTCCATTTCCATAAGCACAAAAATATACACCTGTACCAATTTCAGAGACGCCAGTGCAAATGTTAATGGCAAAATATTCAAATTCACTTGTGGAAAACTGCAGGAAAATTTGAGTCAGGGAACTTTTTAAAAGTCTTAACCTAAAATAGTTGTTATCCAAGCTGGATAATAGTAGATTTGACTATTATTTCTATTATTACTTTTGAAGGCAAGTTCATGGAGATGTGAGTGATATTCCCAAGGGCAAGACTTTGGTTAAGAGCAGTCAGAGTTTCCTGCCCTGTGGGAAGTTCAAGTTCCTCCTCCCTCCCTCCAGGTCTAGGAAGGTGAGCATCTAAACAGACTAGGGTCCCAAAAAGCCAGTACATGCAGAGGAAACAAGTCCCAGTGTCATTATCAATGGCTTCTCAGACAGTACCCATGCCAGCCACATTCAGAATCCGGTTTGATCACGTGCTCGTTCAGTCCCAGTCCCTCTGGCCTTGGTGAGCTCTCATTAGATCAGTCCCCTTGTATCAGTGGGTGAACACACCCCTCGCGGTCCTGATTTCCTTTTTCATGTTCTCCCTCTTTCTGCTCCTCATTTGGACCTTGGGGGCTCAGTCCAGTGCTCCAATGTGGGTCTCTGTCTCAATCTCCATCCATCGTCGGATGAAGGTTCCCTCTGATCCTGCCTTCCTTGCTCACGTTCTCCCCACTTCTGCTTCTCATTTGGACCTAGGGAGTTAAGTCCAGTGTTCCAACGTGGGTCTCTGTCTCTATCTCCATCTATCTGAGTGTAGATGTAAGTGCTAACTACCCAGGACTCCATCAGAGGTTTTAACTAAAGGTGGCCTTGGCCTGAACCAAATGGTATAAAGAACTATGTGCCTTTCACCATTGGCTATCCCTATATATGTTTAGATGCTGGGCACTGTGCTGGAAATGGAGAATAATTGATTTAAGAAACATTTTCACATCCTTGAGCTTTTTGGAAATGGATAAGAGTATTAATAATTTGTTTTTCTTGAGAGAACTGACTAGAATAAAAGAAATAAAACAAAAATAATTGTGTAAGAATTCTATATTAAATGACCAAAACTTTAAAAAGTATCTTATTTTTTAATGTACTATATGCAATATGTAAAACCATAAGTTACATGAATTATATAAGAATATAATATATATCACCTATGTTATATAACACATGAAAAATAATATTTAGACTTTGCTTGAACTCATGCAATTTGTATCATTATTTCAGTTCTTTCTTCGCATTTTCCTATTCTCTTTCTTACCTCATTTGAAATGATGCTTTACAGTAAATGTTAATTATCGTTGGTTTCATAAAATTTTCCTTAGAGTTTGCTTTTTATATAATAGTAAAGCTGAAATATATTCTGACTCTTACTAAGTTACATAAATCACAGCCAAATAGATTTTTGTTGGCTTGTTTTTGACGTAAACTTTAAGCTCATGTTGGTCTCAGATTCGGTTTATGGAAGTAACTATTTCTTTTAATAAGTTTGTTGATTAGATAAAGCACTGACTGAATGGTAGGATGGGACTGTGGGAAGCATGAGATTTAATTCTGGTTGAGCTTCTCTGGTGAGGAAGCCATCAACGGCCTCACTAACTTGTTGAATGTTTCTTTGTAACTGTTGGACGAGATGATGCACTGTTGTCATTGTAAGACAAGACAAACCAAACTGACTGATGTTCTTCTTTCCCAGAAGAGTAGTTATCTAACTGGGGAAAATTAGAAAAGACTAAGACTCCTATAGTTGTAGCAGATATGATGACAGCCAGACCAGTTTGCAGGTCAAGATAGAAGAATTTACCTCAGGATATAGAAATTGAAATCTGCAGCAACCATAAGCATTGCTGCAGTTACAATCCAGACAGTTAGCATTCATCACTAAGAACTTAGGGGAACAGGAAAGGAGCCATCCCATTTGTCAAAGAACAGGACAGAGAACAGCCAACCTTATCAAAGTCTATTCCATCACCAGCAACATTGGCATCATCTGATAGGTTATTTACAGTGCAGAGTTTTAGAATGTCTAGCAAAGTTAGAATCTTGTTTGACCAGAGCCCCAAGTGAATTATATGTGCATTACGACTTTAGACTAATGTTATAAATTACTGTGTTATGCTCAAAGCAGTCTACAAATTACTCTATCTGCCAAACTTTTAGAATGGATTTCCAACTTATTTTTTTTCATACTTTCCCATTTGCAAAACTAATTTCCTTGGAAGGAGGAAAGGGTGAAATAAGAGTTGGCTAGTCCTGTTTGTCTCTGCAAGTGATAGCATTGCTATGTTTTTATTTTTTTTAAAAAAAAGAGAACCTTTAGATTTTCAGATTTTATGTCTGTCAGTAGAAGGAACTAATTTAAGTTTTACATTGTTGGAAAATGTTAGAAATACCTGTTAAAATGTGCCTGGAGTGTTCAAACCATGACTTGAAATAGAATGTATCTTAATTCAAGTAGAGCATTTGAGATTATATAATGTTCCTATAGAGTAAAGACACAAATATGGCTAGAGAATGGTAAGTAAAACATGTCTGCAGATGAATTAATTACCACGCAGAAGAATATTGATGCACAGATTTATTACACCAAATTGACCCTCCAACTCTTATTTTACTTATTAATATTTGGAATACGTTTAAATCACTGTAAGAGCTGTGAGGTCAGAGACTATCTTATTAAGAGCTGTGCCCTTATGTTTTCTGCAAGTAGATACTCCATAATAGATATGTAATAAATAATATTGAATGGATAAAATGAATGAGTTATCGAAATACCTGTTAGCCTGGATAGGGCTTTCTAGTAGTGTTTTATTGATTGATTGGAGTCCTAGGGATCAACTCATGGCTTTGTGCCTGCTAGCAAGTGTTTTATCACTAAGCTATGCTGTCAGTCCCCACTGGTGTTTCTTTAAGCCTGACTTTCTTGATTTGAGTTTAATATACAAATGAATAAAGACACTAAAGAAATGGTATCATATTTATGCATGATGGAAGAGATAAAATCATTAGAATAATAGCTATCTTATGAAATGCTTCTTGTGGGATAGGAATAAACCAGAAACTAAGATAAAGTTTAATAAGACAAATGTAACACATGAATTTTGGTTTTAAAATTTAGCTACAATTAGAATGGGTAAGAGACCTGATGGTTAGTAAGTTGCCAGGCTAGAGTGTTCTCAGGTTGTTTTTAAAAGTGTCGGTTCTATCCAGATGCACAAACCACAGTGCTCTTCATCCAAAGGTGGTCTTAATATTTGCTATTTTGTCGCTCTACAGATGGAATTTAGAGGAATGGTAGGGTGATAATTAGTATGGTTCTATGAAGTATATCATTTTTCATGGTTAAAATAGGATCCCTTTAGGTATGGTTATTAACTAAAGGCCAGATTAGTGAACTGGTGTCTTTGCTGTCGGTTGCTATCCTTTGTTAGCCAGTCATTGAGGGTTATGCTCAAAATGGCATTTTGCTCAATCATTTTGCTTATCCGTACTCAGATATTTGCATCCCGTGCCTTTGAAATATCTATTAAATAACTGGCAGTTGTACAGGAGAATTTGAGTCAGGGAACTTTTTAAAAGTCTTAACCTAAAATAGTAATTATCTAAGCTGGATATTAGTAGATTTGACTATTATTTCTATTATTACTTTTGAAAGCAGGTTCATGGAGATGTGAGTGATATTCCCAAGGGCAAGGCTTTGGTTAAGGAGGAATTTCTCTGTTATAATTGCTCATCTTAGGACTGGCTGAGAGAGCTCTCTGCATCCATTCTCGCAGGACCATTTAGCAGGCATTGATTAGGTGCAACTCTTAGGATATTCAGAGGTAGTTCAAAGACCTCAAGTCTTTAGAAGCTTGTTAGTCTCCAAAGATATTTTCTATCTATCAGTTTAACCAGAATATGTCCTTAGAATATGCATATACTGTTACTATTTAATTTCATAGACTGTTTTGTATACATGGTGCATTTTTCAATCAAGTATATAATGAAGAAAATTATATTACAAGAACCTATTAATTAAGTTAGGTGAGATATGACAATGAACAAGTACAGGAATGGGGAATAGGCAAGGTGAATGAACACACTAATGTTTAAATTGAATTAATGTTTAAATTAATTAATTAAATTAATTGTAATAACCTAAATCTTTCAGTAAAATTTAATTTGTCTACTAGGTAAAAACCAAATGAGTAGACAAAGAACCAAAATTGTCATTAAATATGTAGAAAATAATGGAATATATGATATTTATTATTGCTAATTATCTCAGTAGTACCCCAGAGTCCTGGACGTTATATGGTGTTTTAATAATTTGATATATAACAGTTATTTGAAAGTCATGTCTTGTGTCTTATGTCTATCATTTAACATATTGTTAAAAAGTAGAATTTGGGCCAGGTGATGCTGACACACACCTTTAATCCTAATACTTGGAAGGCAGGGACAGACAGATCTTTGTGAGTTTGAGGCCAGCTTGGTCTACAAAGCAAGTTTCAGGACAGGCTTCAAAAAGCTACAGAGAAACCCTGCTTCAAAAAAAAAAGTAGGATTTGCTTTGAAATTAAATTAAAGTGCAACATTAAAAGAATATGAACTTGAAGTCATCATTTTATTCTATTTAGTAACACTTTATAGATTTATTTCCTTTATTTTAATGTGTATTTTATATGTTTGAATGTTTCGGGTACTTGGGTTTTGATCCAGGGCCTGGTAAATGACTAGTATAAATTCTTATAGAGCCAATACCTCCAGCTCCCTACTCACTGCTTGTCAAGTCACCAAACTTGGCTTTCCTTATTGCAACCGTATTTCCAATGCTTGCACCTCACCTGCTTTTAAAATCTCTCCTGGCTGCCTTTGCTGTCCCATGTGCTTTTATATTGTTCACATTCTTGATGGAGGCAGAACACCAAGAAAAAAAACATTTTTAAAATGTACTTATCATGACACTCTATGGGAGAGTTAGAAAATAAAGTAAGATGAGATTGCAAGTGAGGATGTACATAATTCAAGAGAAAGTAATTGCCTCGTGCATCTCTGAGTACTCACTACGCAGCCCACACTGGCCTGGAACTCACGGTCCTCCTGGGTCAGCCTTCCAAGTGCTGGGAATGCAGGCATGTGCTACTCACTGGACTTGATTGTCTTTTGAAAAGGTTTGCCTTGGAGGTGGCTTCTGTGACACTGGCTAGGGCACCCGTGAAGTACTTAGGGAAAGGGAGCTGGGAAGAGGATATGGGTGCAGTGGGCATCTTCTTTTCTGCCCGACAAAGAGCTTCAGCAGAGAGCCGTGTCAGTGGGGCACTGGATAGAATAAAAGAGTGCTCATGGCAGCAAGCATTTGTTCTCCTTTGAAGAAGTCAGCTTGAGCCAGATGGATCATACCCAGAAAAATTCCATGTTACTATTCTTCCTCTCGTTCACCTTTCTGGGAAGGAAGTGCTATGTTCTTTTGGAGAAGGCTCAAGGGCCTGGCACTAAAAAGTAGCCTGATCTGGGAGCCAGGATCCCAAACTGGTCATCTGGGAAGCATTCAAAAATGCACTGTTTATGGTTATAACCTGAGGCTCCTGGACTGCTAAGGCAGTGAGTGCTGCTTCAGGCTTTTGGGTCTCTCTCTCTCTCTCTCTCTCTCTCTCTCTCTTAGAGCAGTTTTTTTTTTAATTTTTAAAATTTTTTATTCATTTTACCTACCAACATACAGTTCCCCTCCCTACCCTCCTCCTGCTCCCTCTACATCCCCCAACCTCAGAAAGGGCAAGGCTTCCCATGGGGAGTCAACAAAACCTTTAAGTTGAGGCAGGACCAAGCCCCTCTCCCCTGCATCAAGGCCAAGCAAGGCATCCACCATAGGGAATGGGCTCCAGAAAGCTAGAGCTTTGGTTTAGGTGGGTCAATATTTGCTATTTAGAGATGAACCAGGAAAGTTTAAAGTCCTAGACACTCGCGTGTCAGGATTATCACCGTTTCACTAGCTCAGTGACAGACCGTGTGTTTTTGTGGCCTCCGGAAAGCTCTGTTGCCACTGCAGAGGTAACAAGAGTGAAAAGCCATTAGCAACATGGTGTTGTTGTAGAGTCTGGAATTAGTGAATCCACTAAAGTGTTTTTGGGCAACCTATAGATCATCAATTCACACGTTAAGAACTAAGTCTTTGGATCCATGAGTAGAAGGAGAATTGAGATCTTAGATGGGTGTAAAAATGTCATTAACTTTGCTTGCTTCTTTTTTTGCGTGTGTGTTCATTAAAAGTAATTTATTTTATAAAATTTATTTTATTTTACTTTTTTAAAAAAGAAAACCAACTATCTTTTTTCATTTTACATACCAATCCCAGTTCCCACTTCCTTCCCTTCTCCCATTCCCTTTTCCTACTCTTACCCCATCCCCCATATACACCTCAGAGAGGGTAAGGGAAGCTCCAAGGCCCTCCCTACTATAGGTAGGCTGAGCAAGGTATTCATCCAAAGAGAATAGGTTCCCAAAAAGTCAGTACTAGCTTTTTCCACCATGTGGAAATGACTCAGTGTGGCATCTCCATCTATGAACCAGGAAGTAGTCTCTCTTCAGATTCTAGACTCACTGACAACTTGATCTTAGATTGTCAGCCTCCCTCCAGATTTGTGAAAAACACATTTCTGTTGTTTATGTGGCACATAGTATATGACTGCCAGAGGCCCCGCAGTCTGCCCCAGCCATACAACTCTCACCCACATTCAGAGGGTCTAGTTTGAACCTATGCTGGTTTCTTCCTGTCTGGCTGGAGGAGTCTATTATTCTTTTATTATCAATGCAAATAATCCAAAACAGGCAGGAATGCAGTGACTTTGTCACCGATAGAAATCACAGATATGTTCCTAGCATATTAAATTATTACAGATATCTTGATACTTTTAAATTATGAAAGTTACCAGAGTTGATGCTGAATGTTAAAATGTTAAAGAAGTATATATGTTAGTGTTTTACAGATTAGTATTATTTTGTTCATCTTATATTTCATGCACCTGAGGACACTGTTATTTTGAGACAAGGGCAGTGGCACATGCAAGGGTGAGAGCACCTCAGCATTTCAAAGCTTCTGGCTTATTGTCCTCATGGAAGTGGATTTGTTGGAGAACTGGTAATATTGCTGAGATTCTAAAAAGTCTGCATAAGGGGCTAATTAAGGCATCTAGTGTGGAGAGGCTGGATATGGTATAGGCCGATTCCCTGTCTTGTCTTCACATGGGGTCTATAATGAAGTGTGTGGTTGTCTGCGTCTGTAGTGGGAAATGTGATTCATGCTTTGCCATTATTCGAAGGCAGCCTTTAACATTGTACTGTCTGTCTGGACATCAAACATTTGCCTACGTGCTTTTTTCTTAGAGTCAGAAATTGCCGTCCGGAACCCGAACTAAGAAATGAGTGGATAAAGAATATCTAGGCTCTCCGTTGCACTAGTGGTAATAAGCTAGTTGGCATTTTTCAGAACTGTTTGAGAGCCAGATTAGGAAATAATTCTGAAGGGATTTAGCCCTGATTTTTTTGTGTTTTATTCTTCAGTTTTTTTCATTGTGGATACTCTTTGAAATACAACTTCTTAGAAGATATGATGATGTAATAAGATATGGGCATTGTATTAGTGGTCAGGTGACATTGTTTTTCTTCTGCCTTTAATAGCTGTGAGAACCTGGGCTAACTTTCCAGTATCCATATCCTTGTGTCTGTATTAGCTACCACAGAATTTCCCCAGTACAACTGTTTAGAGTAATTGGGAACTTGGGGTGTGACAGCTTGCTATAATTAATCATGTACTGACAATGTACCAAGTATGTATTAGGCTTTAGGGGTTTGTCAGAGAATGATAAGTGATCCCAGATCATATGAGGTTTACAATCTACATTTTCACCAGCAAGTGACGATTAGGCAGAATATATTTGCCAGGAGTAAACTGATAGTAATCTAGGGAAAGTGAAAATGGGGTTTTTGAGCAAAAGCCTTTCCTACTTTATATAGATTGTTATTTCATAGCCATTTAGTAACTAGCACTCTGGATGTTAGTTGACACTAACTTATAGAAAAGAGGGCTCCTTAGTTACCTTCTTGTAATAAACAGGAGTTCACTTACACTTTACTGAAGTCTTAAACTTGTACAGTTTAAGACATATACCTCTTGCTTTTGGATGTAGTGTCTTATTTGTAGCATTCCCTCCAATGTTTGTATTTGTATTTTTGATGTGTATTTTAGAAAGAACACCCAGGTTAATGCCTGATAAAGGAAGCATGTATTACCCACGGGTGCAGCATTACCGAGAGCTTCTTGACTCCTTGCCGATGGATGCTTACACACATGGCTGCATTTTACATCCTGAACTCACTGTGGATTCCATGATCCCAGCTTATGCAACCACAAGGATTCGCAGTATGTAAAAAATCGTATAAGCTGGGGGTTGATTCTGCCTGAAGTTTCTTATCATTTTGAGACTTGACATATCTTCTAGTCACTGAGAGAAGATTGGGAAATTGGATGGTTGAGTTTGTTTCATGGACATGCAGGGGTATGTATCAATTCACTAACCTGCCAGATTAATCTGTTCCTCAGCCACTTCACTTGATATAGTATCTATTAGGCCTAATTTGTCAGTGTTTGAATAAAACTTAGGAAAGTGACTGATAGAAAGGTAGAGAATGTTCTCAATATGTTCTCAAACAGATTGACTGGTAGTCAGAATGGCTGGCACATTCTTGGGGGTACGGGCTTCTGGGCTCGTCTCATGGTGGGAGAAGGCTGGATTAGAAGCCATCTAGCCACCACCTCTGTGCTCAGTGACTGGAGATATTTTGAGATTTGAGAAATCCTTCCTACTTCCTGTCAGGAGGATCTATAGGGTCAGTGTGTTAGATGTGGAGCAGAAGAAAGTGTGTTCTACAGTATAGTTGGCTATGGCTAGGTTACACTGGTTATACTCAGGAGGTTTGAAGACACTCAATCCCGAATCTTCTAAACCTACAATCCATGGTTTTCTCTTACATGATGTCAATAAACGTTGTTTTATTACTTTTTTCTCCTTTTTTTGATATCCTGTCTTCTCCCGTCTTTTCTTTCCTTTGTCTTCTTTTGTCTCTTCACCCTTCCCTATCCCCTCCCTTCTTTTCTCACCTGCCATCTCCCCTCTCCTCTCTTGCCTTGTATTTTTTCTCTTCCTAAGTATTTATAATGTGATTTGAAACACAATCTCTGACTGCAACCTTATCACTTTAGCTAACATTATTTTCAAAACAAGGTTTTCCCTTCCTTTCATCAGAGAAACTGGAAGAACTGGAAAGGTAAGGCAGTCTGGTGGCATCGTGCACAAAAGTGTCCAGCCTTGCTGTGGCTGCTCACAGAAGATGCCCAGGCAGTCCTCAGACTGTGCACTAGGTATCTTCTAGCTGCATTTTAAGTGGGGAAACAGAGGCATACAAAGTCTGTCCAAGATAGCAACAGGCTACCAGTCACAAAGCTCATACTCTCATCAAGGTGTGCCCCCACTCCTCCCTATGTGTGTGACATGAGGGAAAGACTTTTTCATTTCAAGCATGTTTTTATTATCAGGCCAGATTGGTAACACAGAGTCTGAACTGAAGAAACTTGCTGAAGAAAACCCTGACTTACAAGAGGCATATATTGCCAAGCAGAAACGACTTAAGGTAAGTGACTCTGTTGGTTCTACTGCACACCAGCGTACTCTCTGGGATAGAAGTGTGTTGTTTCTAGACTGTCTGTTTACTGTTGTAGATCATTGGTGCATGTGATATCTTTGGCCTGTGCTCTGCTTTAGAAAGACTTCTGAATCAGTTGTAGCAGCACATGAGCCCTGAGGATCAATGAGTTCCAAGCCAGCCTGGACTACAAAGTGAGATACTTACAAACAAAAACAAACTTCCAAGGAAGGAAAAGAAGATTTTTTATTATATATTTGATATTCAGACTTGGTGATAGTTATCTGACTAGCAGATACTGAGCATGCTGGTTGCCATGGAAGGTGACGAATTAGTGTAAGTTCCAGTTAACATAATATAGGATTCTCTCATAACAGGTAGTTAGCTGCTTTAAGGCCTCCATGTGTTAGCTGACTTGGGCTGCCCATCATAAGGAACATCAACAATAGCCTTTCACTTTCTATTGGTTCTTTGCACATGCCCAGACAACACATGATATCACATATGTAGCAAATGATACTTCCAACTCTCCCTCAACTTCCTTCCTTTATTCTCTCTTAGCTGAGTAGGCTCAGAGTACATCCTTCCATAGTTACTTTTCTTACCTTCCAAAATCACATTTAGACTTCTCTTATACTCTTCCTTTACCCTTTTGGTGTGTGTGTGTGTGTGTGTGTGTGTGTGTGTGTGTGTGTGTGTGTGTATACGTGGGCGTGTGTGTATTGTGCATGCATTTCTGCATATAGAGGCTGGAGGGGAGCATTAGGACCCTCTCCCCATTATTTTTGAGACAAGATCTCCTACTGACTGGGGACTCACTGATTAGGCTAGGCAAGCTGGACAGTAAGGTCCAGGGATGTGTCTGTCTCTGCCTCCCCAAGATGGGGTTAAAAATGTGTGCCATCACTCCTAGCTTTTGAACAACAAATTCTGGAACTCAAACTCTGGTTATCACACTTTCAAGACAAGCAATTTATAGACTGAGCTACCTCCTGCTTTTTCTTGACTCTATAATTAGTTCCTTAAAATTTACCAACTTCTATTCTTGAGTCGAGTGCTAGAGGAGGGTCTCCGTGTTTCTCATGTTGTTTGTCCTTACTGGTTAGCTGGAGTTGCCAGTCCGAGCTAGGTCTGTTCCTGAGATGATCTCACAGCTGGAGCACTTCCTCATTTTGCTCTGACTCTACAAAGTTATCCTATATCTCCCCATTGTCTAAAATGAACAGGTTTTAATTCTAAAAGTATATATATAAATCTACTTTGTGCTATATGGTTTTGTTGCTGTTACTAGTAGGCATAAATAGTTTCTTTTTGGTTTGTTAATTAGTCAAAGCTGCTTGATCATGACAATGTCAAGTACTTGAAGAAAATTCTTGATGAGTTGGAGAAGGTCTTGGACCAGGTGGAAACTGAGCTACAAAGGAGAAATGAAGAAACTCCAGGTAGGTTCTCTTGGCTTTGTTTTTACTGAAACATTAAAGGCATTTGTAGGAACAAACATGTTCTGTAATCTGTTCCTGTGGTTATTGCTTCCAGGCAAGTTTAAACATGTTATTTCACTCAGAACTCTATTGTCTAATTGTAATCCAGTCTGTATCAATGAGAACTATGACTCTGGAATGGTTTCTGCACCTTTTGAAGGATGTTTGGAGGGTGCCTACCTACCCAGCTTCAGAAGTCAGCAATTATAGTAGTCTGGTTGGATAACCTGAGGAATTGCTTGACTGCCCACTCTGGGTTTTGCTTCAGCTAGGGAGATAGCTTGAATCTGAAGAGTGAAGGAGGAGTGAGCAAGTGAGTATCTAATGGGCTACTGAACATCGATAGATTGCGTCTGTGAGCTTCAGCAGTCAGCCATTTTCCATGCTTATACGGGGGCCATTTGTGCATCTTACCTGGACTGTTGAAGACGCTGTTACCTGAAACTTCTTTCACAACAGGGACACAGCTGGGTTTGATGGCTCCTCACCTGTCATCCCAGGATTTATGAGGCTGAGGCAGAGGCAGAGGCATTGCTAGCAGTTTAAGGCCTACAAGGGCTAGGGAGTAATCCCTTGTCTCAAACAAAACAAATCAAAACAACAAAATGAAAAACCAAACAAGAAACAAAAAAATATATGTAAAAAGAAAGAATGACTCCTTTCTACTTCTAGGAAATGTGTCTATTCTTCTGTCTCTGCGAAGCTTGAGTGGTCTCAGGAGCCACTGAGGATACCATAGTACGTGGATGGTCATGTCCTTTATATGAAATGATTTGGTGTTTGCATGTCCTATGTACTTGAAGTTCTTCTTGATTACTTTTAATATGTAATATAATGTGAAGGGCATGAAATAGCTTTTATACTGTGTTGTATAAGGGATAATAATAAGAAAGAAAGCTTGCTCAGTAAAATGTAGCATTCTTAAGCATTTTTGATCCTGTGGATGCAGTTATTGGCATGGGAGGTGTATTGTAGACAGGAGTAGTGGCCTCTTAGTGAGGTTTTAAATATAACTTTATGAATCGTTCTAAAGCACTCTGGTTGATTTCCTACGCCAGAGGGAAATACCAGTCTGTAGATTCCTCTAGATTGCAGGCACCTACCATCTGAGCCCTTTATAGCATGAAAGTCCTCCAGATCAAGTAGTCCAAATTTACCAAGGGACTTTTGTGACTGACAGATGTCAAACAAGGTCCTGTTAGTTTGGGATAAATGTGAATGACTGCGATGATCAAGACAACATGTGTCCATCTTTTCCCTTAGGGCTAAAACTGCAAATGGGAGCTGAGGTCTGTGGTGTTTGTTCCTAATCCTTAATTCCCTTTCTCTGATTAGAAGAGGGTCACCAGCCTTGGCTCTGTGGAGAATCCTTTACCCTGGCAGATGTCTCGTTGGCTGTCACATTGCATCGACTGAAGTTCCTGGGGTTTGCAAGGAGAAACTGGGGAAATGGAAAGAGACCGAACTTGGAAACCTATTATGAACGTGTCTTGAAAAGAAAGACATTTAACAAGGTTTTAGGACACGTCAACAATATATTAATCTCTGCCGTGCTGCCAACAGCGTTCCGGGTAGCCAAGAAAAGGGTCCCAAAAGTTCTTGGCACCACCCTTGTGGTTGGTTTGCTTGCAGGAATGGGATATTTTGCATTTATGCTTTTCAGAAGGAGACTTGGCAGCATGATATTAGCTCTTAGACCCAGACCAAATTATTTCTAGGTTTGTTGGGCTTTGGGGGAGCAACTCATCCAACCATTCCACCAGGCCTTCATCCACTCTTCCAGACCCAGTGAAGACTTATCCTGGGTAACTAGTAGAAAGCATACTTTACATTACTCCTCAGTGAGTTCCTGTGGGTAAAGGAGCTTATGATGTGGTAAAGTCTTCCTTCCTCCCTTGCTTCCTTCCCTGCTTCCTTCCTTGCTTCCTTCCTTCCTTCCTTCCTTCCTTCCTTCCTTTCTTTTATGAGACGATCTATTACTAATCTATCCATAAAGCAAGCATGTGAAAGGTCAAAATATGTAAACGCTAACAGGTGGGGAGCAGACCTTTAATGGAAATTGTCGGTTCATGCTCTCAGCTATTTTTTGAGTGGTTGTAATTAAGAGCAGACAATAATAATAACCACTGACATTCATAGTGCTTCACCTGAGATTGGCCACTGTTCTGGGAGTTGAGCAGTTACAAGGTCCTCCCCTGGAACTCAAAAGTCATCTGTGCTACACTAGACAGGGTTCAGACCCCAACATAGTACTGTTTCATCTTCCAGTACCAACTTCAAGCATAAATTAGGGAGAAAATGGGAAAGGGAAGAAAGAAAACGGGAGAATGAATTACATCTAAGATGGAGCAGTAGACTGACTTCCACTAGCCTCCACTGCTGCTCATGGCTGCCTGTCACCTTGGTAAATTTTGTGTATAACTTCTTGTGGTCGTACCCACTCCTTAACTGAAGACTCAGGAGGAGAGGTCTGGGAAGTTATTGGGGACAATATACTGGGGAGAACCCTACACATTACATACAAAACACCTCGTTTGACCTTAATTATGAATCACATATCTTGATTTGGTAAGATTAAGTAATTATGCACTTGATGATGGGATGCCCATTGAAACATATATGTCTAGAACAGATTTGAATATCTAAAGGCATAGTCAGGTGGTCCTCGTGGTTCCCATGACCTTGTGAGGTACGGTCCTGTGGGCCCTATGTTCAGTCCTGGGAGCCTTGGCCTCTAAAGCCCTCTTTATTGTAAGGAATGTGTAGATGAATGTCTCAGGTAAAAATCATGGCTTATTACTGGTAGTGAATAATTTAATGAGAGCCAAATATGCCCATTTTTATTTGGGATACACAATTTTTGGCCAGGCTTTGTGTTTTTTAAATGCTTATTAACAAAGCCTTAAAGAAAAAGAGGAGAGTCTAGCATTGGATGTTGACAGTTGATTTGAGGGAGATGAAATATACTGCTAGTGATGCCCATCCATATTCATCCATGTATGGCCAAGTCTTTGGGGCGTGTGGTATTCCATTTGGAAGAAGCAGTTCTAGTATGACCTAGGAGCAGCCGTGCTACTATAAGGAATGATTAGTGCTCAGGAAAAACCTCCTATTGAAACAAGGAGGCAGTTTGTGTGGAGCTGACTGTCAAGGCCTTCGAAGCAGCTTTAGAAGGCTGACGGGAAGCTTATCCAAAGGCGGTGAGCTCAGATTCCAGTGAGTACTGAAAGCCTGTTTCGATGGCCTCAGGTCGGCTATGCATATGACCAAAGAATGTACCTGACTTTTTCATTAATGGAAAAATGTCATGTCTATTAAAACAGTGACTTTCTGGTGGTAAAAACAATTCTGTAATTCCATTCTGATTCTATAATTCTTTTTGTAATCTAGATGTACTAGAAAAATAGAAAACCCTCACAAACTGGTTGTGCCCTGTTTACGAAAGCACTAATAACATTCCGGTGTGAATGCAAATAAGCGACAATGAATATGCTTACAGCACATTTTTCTGTTTCAATTTGCCCATGTTGTTTTGAACTTGCTTGTTGTAGGACATTGACGTGATTGTATTTGTAAAAGAGCCGCAGAATTAATTGACTAGTAATTCAGAATGTTTTATGTCATTCTGCAGAAATAAAAGTGAGGCACAAAGAAGAAACAATGGGAATTTTGTAAAATACAAAAACAAAAAAATCTGCAGGGGGAATTTGCCTGTAAATGGATTGTTAAAGACTGACTTTTCTTTTAGAATATGTCATTACGGAATCAGGAAATCACTGGGAAACCTTTATAATTTTCTTATACAATCTATCTGGAGGCAGATGTGTACCAATGTTAAGGGCGAAGTATCCTTTAGTATTTTCTGGGTAGGTGTTCCTGACTTAATTGCTTTAAAACCACTTGTGTAGCGATAGCAGCATGGCCACTAGATGTCACTATTTACCCAGCAGTCTAAGCTTGTGTTCCATTAGGCTCTGCATGTCTTAGGTTCCAAGAGAAGATAAAACATTAATGACCTTAGTTTCTAAAGTGAGGGCATCTTCATCAAGATTGTTCATCTATGAAAAAGCTTGAGGCAAATGTAGTATTGATTTCCTAAGCTTTGTGAGTGATGACAACACTGTGTGATGTCGGACTAAGGAGGCGCGCTGCACAGCCATTGTCAGCCAGAAGTGCGTCTTCCTTTTCCCCCCGTCTTTGGTAACGGGCCAATGAGCTTCCCATGTGAACGCCACACTTGGAAAGTGCCAGAGGCACTAAAGAGTCATCTATTTCTGTCTTAACACACATGCATACTATTTTATTGTTACTGCCATTATATGCCTTTTGATTCTCAAAACTTGTGAACTGCTTGCTCAAGTTTTAATAATTATTGCTGTTGATGTCAAAGTTGTAGATGGTGCTGTTGACTGTCATGGGAAAATCAAGATATTGTTCTGTCTGTAAGATCAATAAAACAATTCGAAAATAAATGTTTTCGGGGACACAAAGAACTAATTAAAATATTTTAAAATTACATATTTTCACTTAAAATGAAAACATCTGGACTGGGGATGTTGGTCAGGGTGGAGCACTTGTCAACATTTTCCAGCATGAAAAAGAAAGAAAACAAAAGCTATGAGCTATAAATTAGGCAATTGGAGGAAAATAAGCAGTGCAGTTTTGAAGACGTACAGCTAGGGCATGCTTTTCTTCTAAGTCACTGAGTCCGTTTAATACACAGATTAGGGCTAAACAGAGTGGCAGCCTGAAGAGTCATTGATCTTGGTTATTAAAGTAGATCTTTGCAGTTGGGCACTTAGATTACATCCATGATGAACATGGAGTCTTTAGTAGGTTTTGTGTATTGTTCTCAGGGTAATTTCGGTTTTTGATATAGCTACTTTTCTTTCTTTAATTGGGTATGAATTATGAATATACAAACTGACACCTGCTTTCTAACCTCAGTAAGCCTAGTTATTGTTGTAAATACCAACTAGGAATTGAATGTAGTTTTAGTGTTACCCTGACCTAAGCAAATTAAAGAGAGATCTCATTGTTCTCATCTTCCTTGAGTTCACTGACAAAGCAAAAGTCAATACCCAAGAAAAGCCAAGTGAATGTGTAACTCATCTCAGAGAAAAGAAGGGAACCACCATAAATCACAAAAGGCTAATTAATGCAATAGATACAGTGTTTAGACTTCAGCTGCATATTATCTATATCAAATGTTGGCTCATTTATTTTATCTGCACTAACATCAGAATGTCTTGCTTCCCAAATTCTTCTAAACAGTGGTTTTAATAGGTAAGGCAGTGGATTTTAAAGCTTTTGAGAAAAATGGAATAGTGTTCAATGGTAGTAGTTTGTTTTAGTTATTTGTTCCGTTATAAAAATGAAACAAGATGGAGCGGAAGAACTCACTGGAGGGCTGGGAAGGTGCACACTCAGGAACGATGTCTGCTTTATCGTTGACATGAGCTGAAGCCTGATGCTGAGGATGGAGGACTGAAAAACAGCTAGGAAGGTAAAGGGGCTAAAGTAGTTCAGACTCCTGCTAAGAGACGACAAAGCCATGCGGGTTTGAGACAAAACCCATGTGATGCGCAGTGATCGACTCCTGTGGTGCCTTGTCAAAAACCACATGGGGGAGCGTGTGTGTTTTGTCTTTAGCCTTTACTCATCACTCAAACCTCGGCTCCTCAATTTCAGCATTAGAGTGTTAATAAATATGTGACATTTGCAGACACTCTGCATATGTTGATTTCAGCTCATCAAACATTTTTATGAAGATGACTAAACACTGCATTGTCAAAATGGCCTCAAAGTCTGTCCCTGACATACTCCCTCCAGCAGTGCTACCTCCTAATCCTACCCAACAGTGTTACCAACTAGGGACCACATCCCTAGATACCCGAGAACACGGGATATCTCCCTTAGACCAGCACATGGGTCAAATTGAGAGCCTCCTCCTTGCTGGCCAGTTATTCTACTGATTGGACTATCCTCCAGCCCCTGCTATACTTTCTAGTTCCCATATTCCTTAGGATTTCTTCCCCCTCTCAGGATTAATTTTCTAGTTCTGTGACCTAAAATCACATATATAAAAGTCACAAACCCCCAATTTTTAACTTAGATTTTGATGTGTGACTTATTTAACAACAATTTTTAGTTGCATCCATTAAGAAATTTAATTCATAGTAATATTTTTAGTAGTCATTGACAATCTCTCCATATAGAAAGTAATAAGTAATCAAAGCTCTACACATACTTTTTAGAAAACAGAATGGAAGGTCTCCAAAATTATGTTCTAAGACCAATGTAATCCTGGTGTCAAAATCTAAGAGAGATGAATAAGAGAAAAAAATAGACCCTAAATACCCTTCACAAACTTTTTTTTGTGGGGGGCATTGACAGAAACTAGTAGATAGTACTGAGAAAAAGAAAAACCCACCACAGGATGGGAGACAATATTCATAACATATGAATCCAGCCATAACTGTAGTCATAATATACATACTACTAATAAAAATGGATTCAAAACTTAAGACACTTTGCAAAGCATAGATGCTTGACTTTAATTCAGCAAACAAATGAGATAATTGAATTCAACTGGAAATCACATGTATCAAAATCATACCAATATAGTAACTACTTATATGGCACTCTAAGCCAAGTTCTGTTATACAAAAGGGTTAAATTTGGATTCCAGTAATAATGATTATTGGCAAGGATATTGAGCTACTGGAATTTATGGAATATTGGCGGGAAGGCAAAATTTATATCAATCTTGGAAAAGTTTTGCAGGTCATTAGAAATGTAAAGTATTCCTGATCACCTCAAAGCTTTACTCTTGCTATTATTTATTCCATGGGAATGAATTTTCTGTTTATAGCTAATAATTAGGAACCATTCAAATGCACATCCTTGATGAACAAATTGTTCCATTTATACAATGGGCCTATATCCTTCAGCAAAAAGAAACTATTGATGTATGTATACATTACTATTGTTGAATTTAAATACAGCATGTGAAAGAGGCAATGGGCTCACACATGGTACTTAAATCCAAGGGTAACCGTTAGTGTCTCAGAACTCTGAACTCCGTTCTGTGTCTGATGAGTGAGAGTAATTCCCAATAAGTGTATAAACAATACCATTTTAGCAAAATGATGGTGAAAATTTTGGCTTGTCAGTGGGACTGAATTGACTGCCTAGCCACTCCCCTGAGAGACCTACCCACGGGAGTCCAGGGCATCCCCACAGGTGCAGCTTCTGGAGTTCCTACGGGCACCTGTTGGATCTACATGAAAGCTCTGGAACTAGAGACTATCCAAAGTCAAAGACAAGGCCAGGGCCCATGCAGCTCTTTATCTGAGCTAAGGACTCTCTCTGGATTCCATTACCAGCCCTGGCCAGTTCTAGAGCATGAGACAGAAAATTTTTGAATACACTCTAAAATCCAGTGTCCTAGTTAGGGTTACTATGCTAAAACACCATGGCCAAAGCTACTTGGGGAAGAAAGGGCTTATTTGGTTTACACTTCCACATCACTGTTCATCATCAAAGGAACTCAGGACAAGAACTCAAGCAGGGCAGCAACCTGGAGGCAGGAGCTGATGCAGAGGCCATGGAGGAATGCTTCTTACGGACTTACTCCTTATGATTGCTCAGCCTGATTTCATATGGAACTCAGGACCACCAGTTCATGATGACCCCATCCACAATGGGCTGGGTCCTCCCACATCAATCACTAAAAAAATGCTTTACAGCATTGCATGCAGCTATATCTTATGGAGACATTTTCTAAATTAGGTTTTCCCACTCCCAGGTGACTTTAGCTTGTGTCGGATTAACAGAAAACCATCAAGCATAACTAACAAACCCTCTCCTTTCAGGAAAGACACATTGCTTGCTTTCTTGGGACCAAAACAATATCTGTAAAGGAAGGGTTGAGAAGTGTGTATTCTGTTATGCCAGGTTCAACAATGAAAGATACTGTCATCAAACTAGTACTGATATTATTCTATTAGTATCAGTTCCTAAAGAGTCTGGACTCCATTTAGGTCATGTGGCAACATTTAACTGATGGAAGAAAGCTGTATATAATTAATAACATGGAGAGAAATGCAGGGATCCCAAAGTGTAACAGCTAATAAGTATCATGTGTTTTGGATGAGCAGTGTATATTGGTAGTCTGTCAGGGTATCTTTTGTAAACCTGGACAAAGAAACCCCCCAAAGCCAGAGCCCATAAGGAGAAACTGATAGTAGCTATTATAATGGGAAACGATGATTTTCCATTTAATCTCTAGATTAAACACATTCTGAGACCAAGGTTAAGTTACCTGAAGGAAGTCGATGTCTTTTAGAAAAACACAAAAGTAAAACCCCAAACAAAACCAGCAAACTCATTGTGGTTTCAACACAAGGGTCTGCGACACATTTTTTCTTTTGTTTTCTCCAACGATTCCATGGATAGGTCTACCCCTTACTTTACAATACTTGAGGTAAATATACAAATGGAAACCCTGACTTGGAGCTACCCTCCTTTTTCATATGGGGGCCTCAAAACTTCTATGCATGCACCTCAATATGCCAGTCCAAACTCTAAACACATTGATATAGCCAACTTCCTCTTGGATACTTTTGGATTTTAAGGCATGCACACTAGCAGCATGCTCCACTCTGGACAGGAAAGACTAGGAAGAATCATACAGGTTCTAGAACTGGGCTTAAGGCTAACAGTGTAGGGAATCACATATCGGTGCTACTCGGGTTATGAATCTCAAATGGTAGCTTGGGTCCTCTCAGTTCTAATGTCATTCACAGAGGTTGTGATTGGAAACCAGAGGGAAATTCCATTAGATTGAAATTTCAAAGGGTTCCAAGACAAGGGTGCCATTTGTCTCCCAGGGTAATAGTGTACATTGGAAAAAGAGTACTGATCAGAATTTTTGAGACACAAAGTTCCATCTCATGGTTTATGGTATAAGGGCCATTGTGTTATAGATGGCCAAGTAGAAAACACTAAAATGGATAAGGTGTCTCCCATCTCCGGGCCCAGTTGGTAAGTCAGAAACTGTTGGCATCCTCAGAGGACTTTGGAAGATTAGTATTCTCAAAAGTGTAACAAACACAGAGGTGACAGTTCCCTGTTCAGGTCACCTGTTGAGACTTTGTGAAAGTTGGTGGTTTGTGTAGACACTAACTGCATTATTATGCTAAATTTAACATGTGGGAGGCTAATTGTGCCTGTTATGCAAGTTGCAAGTTAGTGTCTTACTTTTTTCACTGTTGCTTTCAAATTTCTGACAAAAACTAACACATGGAAAGGGAATACTGGCTTTGCTTTATGTTTTACAAGTACAGTCTGGCCAGGGAGACAGCTCAGTGCACAAAGGCACCTGCTTCCAGGCCTTAGGACCTGAGCTAGACCCCTGGTTTTTACCTAGTTTCCCCTCCAAAATAGATACATGCACTTAAAAAAGATGTACATTTGTTACAGGGGAGAAGCCCTGGGGTGTTTGCAGCAGGA